GATTTTTCCATAGTTGATCTTACTGAATCCTTCATTGATAGAGGGAACATGACTTGCCTATGGTTGCCCAGATAGTAAACAATAAAACTATTATTCTTTTTTTAAAAAAAATTATTTATTTGACAGAGAGAGAGACAGCGAGAGAGGGAATACAAGCAGGGAGAGTGGGAGAGGGAGAAGCAGGCTTCCCGCTGAGCAGGAAGGGCTGAGCAGGGAGCCTGATGTGGTACTTGATCCCAGGACCCTGGGATCATGAACTTAGCCAAAGGCTAAGCGACTGAGCCATCCAGGTGCCCCTAAAACTATTATTCTAACTCAATTGTTGAGCTTCTAGTCCATTCATTCATTCAACAAATATATAAGAGTGTACCATGTGCCCGGCACCAGTCTAGATGGAGAATAATGATGTACAAAACAGTGACAGACCTTGTCTCTTTCTTCATGAAATCCAGTCCAGTCCTTTTCCATTGAGAACCTTCTTTGGAACTCCCCAAATGGGATGTGATGGTCAGGGGCAGGTCTTCAAACCCCTCTAGAAACAACTGTCATGAAACTTTTATTTCCAGACTCTCTATCTTGGTGATTTAAGCTTCTAAAATTCCTTAAGTCTTAATGTTTTTCAGTTTTCAACACATTTTCTTATTTCTTAAATAAAGCGTTCTATCCCATAGTATCTTCAAATATTTAAAAATATCATTATTCTTTCAAGGCTCCTTCTGATATCTACTTTAGGCCTTTTCAGGACTTGAGAAAGAGAAATACAGTGGCAGGAACACCATGGGGTTTGGATTCTGGCCTTGAAACCCTGCAGAGATGGCATTGGGCAAAAGAAACCTTCAGATTTCTCTTTGCTGCTCTGGATCCAGACACATTCATCAACAGTGACTATGATGCATAATGGAAAGGGTTGTCCATCTTGAGAACATAGAAAATGCCTCGAATATTAATTGCTAACATATGAAGTTGGCCATCTGGGACAGCTCAGTAGAGGGAGTGTGTGATAACTCTAGCTTAATTGAATATAATTGAGGGGTCAGTTCTACCCAAGGAAATTGATCAAGCAAACATTTTGAGAAGGTGTTTTGGAATAGAATTCAGGATCCATGCTGTCAGCTGCCTTTCATTCTTGGACTTTTCCCAGGTTGTTTATCCTCTCTTGGGTTGGGGAAGAGGTCAGTTTATGAGATATGAGGGTGACGTTCTTGTTAGTCAAAGGATCCCAGTACTTAATAAGTGGTTGTCCCTTCCTGGTCTCCCCCCCACCAAAGATCAGCAATATTTAGCTGGTGCTCCATACCTTGACTAGCCACTTGATCTCCCCAAGTCTTAGTTTCTTAGTATATATATTTATACATAGATATAGACATATATATGTGTGTGTGTGTGTGTGTGTGTGTGTATGTGTGTGTGCACTGTAAGATGTATAGTATATGTGACTGATGGAATTGTAGTTAAATGTAGAACTGATCAATAAAGTTTATGAATTCTAGAAGAGTGGTTCTCAAGTGAGGACATTGTTGTTCCTCCCCCCTGCCTCCAGGGAACATTTGAGACATTTGGGAGTGTTTGGAGACATTGTTGGTTGTCACAACCAGTGGGTAGAGGTCAGAGATACTGCTCAACGTCCTGCACTTCATAGGACAGTCCTCCCACCCCCCCAGTCCTCCCACCCCCCGGCAACCTCCTCCCACCAGCAACTAAAGAACGGTTCAGTCCATAAGGTCAATAGTGCCCAGGTTGAGAAATCCTGCTCTGGGGCATTGCATAAATACTGCAATTAAGTAATTATGTGATCAAGGGGACATCACATACCTCAGTTTTTAATACGTAAGATCAAGAAATCGCCTATCATAGATGACAGGATACTGTAACCGCGAAATTACAGGAACAAGCACATGCCAAAAGTCAAGAGGAAAAAAAAAAATCAAAGGGCTGGATCAATGTAATGGAAAGAGCACCAGTTTGGAAAGTTAGCTGGTACATTACAGGATGGGAATCTATCAATAAGCAAAAGAGGCTGAAAAAGATACAATTGTAGGATTTATCCTGAGGAAAAACAAAGGAAGGAGGAGTCCTGTGCAGGGGTATTCAATGGAACGTTGTTTGTAAAGGGGAAACACTGGAAAGTAAGGAGTGGAAGAGGGATGCTGGTTTGTGTCTAGTAGGGTTTCACTGGCTGGCTGAGCCCGTTCTTGTGGCACCAGCACAGCACTGGTGCGTGAAACCCTTGCCCAACAGGGCAGGCTTGGCGGTCTCCTTGTTTGATGCTGTAAGAAAGGCTCCTCATGGTGAGCATAGGATATTGTACAGAATTGTTAAATTACTATGGTGTACTCCTGAAATTGGTATATTAACTATACCTCCCCCTCCACAAAAAAGACTCCTCAATCTGATGACCGCAGCTGCTTTCCAAGTAAGCCAAGGTCAAGCACAGTTGAGACATTTCCCCCTTCTCATCCCTGTTTCTCCCTTCTTCTCCTTCCTCCACACTTTATCTGTCTCCCTTGTTTGAGCCCTTCCTCTGCTCTACTTCCAGGGACAGGAAAAGGGCATAATGGCCTCAGGCTCAGGGAAAATAAAAAATAGCAAGAGAGACAGTGCATTCGAACACGGACACAAGCCCTTCTCCAGGTCTGCTGACTCCATTTGCACTGTCGTTTCTGAATATTTTTCATACCACAAGTCTAAGGTAACATTTTGGCAGAAAACATGGGTCCAGATAGATGAGAGAACAATAAGCAATTTGTTGTGGAGTTAGGTAGCATGAAAAATGTTTAAATACTTTGCTGTTGATGTTCTGTCCCATTCATCAAGTATTTATCTATGTGTGCCAAGGGGCCACAGTAGACTGGGTAGGCCAGAGCCTGTGAAGACAAAGGTCCCAAGAGGCTTTGAGCAAGTCAAGGAACTGGGTGGTTGCCCAGCTAATTGTGTGATAAGCAAGCCAAACTCTCGAGCTTTGAGAAAGCAGGAAGAGAGGACTTAATAGTAGCCAGCTTCAATTGCAAAGATTTCTTTTTTTTTTAATTTATCTAAATTCAATTTAGTTAACATATAGTGTAGTATTAGTTTCAGGAGTAGAATCTAGTGATTCATCACATACATACAACACGCAGTGCTCATCGCAAGTCCCCTCCTTAGTGCCCACCACCCAATTTAGCCCATCCCCCACCTGCCTCCCCTCCAGCAACCCTCTGTTCCTAGAGTCAAAAGTCTCTAATGGTTTGCCTCCCTCTATGTTTTTATCTTATTTTATTTTTCCTTCCCTTCCCCTATGTTCATCTGTTTTGTTTCTTAAATTCCACATGAGTGAAATCACATGGCATTTGTCTTTCTCTGACTAACTTCTTTTGCTTAGCATAATACCTTCTAGTTCCATCCATGTCATTGCATAGGGCAAGATTTCATTCTTTTTGACAGCTGAGTAATATTCCATTGCATATATAGACCACATCTTCTTTATCCATATTTCTGTCCATGGACATCTGGGCTCTTTCCGTAGTTTGGCTATTATGGACATTGCTGCTATAAGCTTTGGGGTGTGTGTGCCCCTTCAAATCACTATTTATATATCCTTTGGATAAACACCTAGTAGTATAATTGCTGAGTCATAGGGTAGTTCTATTTTTAACTTTCTGAGGAACCTCCCTACTGTTTTCCAGAGTGGCTGCACCAGCTTGCATTCCCACCAATACTGTAAGAGGGCTCCCCTTTTTCTGCATCCTCACTAACATCTGTTGTTTCCTGAGTTAATAATAAAAACTTGTGATTTCTGACAGGAGGTGAGGACATCCATATCTCCACACAAATATGTAAATATCAGTTGAATTGCTGTTGAAGAATAAAATCAGAAAGACATTAAAGGTTGTGATTAACACCTCTGGACTTAACATCAGGCAGACCCAGATTTTCATTCTGCTTCCAACACTTATTAGTTATGTGACTTTGGACAATAGTTACTACTATTACTATAATAGCTCCTCAGTCCCATCTAGAAGCTACTAGATATTAAGAGCAGACAGTAGCCAGAAAAGGGAGAGCAAGCATAAAACATACTGCCAACTGGAAATAATCTAAGAGAGAAAAATGCTCTATCTTGGAGCACTGTTTATAAAAGTGAAAAACCGGAATCAAGGGAGTGGGGTGTTATCATTATGCAGTTTCTTCTTGTGTAAAGTGAGGAAAATAATAGGATCAAACCTGAAGAATTAAATGAGTTCACTGTGAGTAAAGCCTGGCATAGAGTGAGCCAGTGTTGTGATTTCTGTGATTAGTACCATTTAGTTATACGTGCATGGAAAATGTTAGGAAATCTCCCTGGAGGCGATATTCTTGGGAGTGGAATAAGAAGATGAGAAATGAGGGATTTATATTTTTTACTTCTTACTATTCTCTTTTTGACTTTTTGAAAAAGATTTTTATTTGTTTATTTTAGAGAGACAGAGGGTGTGCGAGGTGGGGTAGGAGCAGAGGGAGAGGGGAAGGGGAAGCAGACTCCTCTCTGAGTGGGGAGCCTTGAAGATGCTGGGCTTGGCTCAATCCCAGGACACTGAGATCTTGACCTGAGCCAAAACCAAGAGTAGATGCTTAACTGACTGAGCCAACCAGGTGCCCCTCTCTTTTTGATTTTTAAAAATGGAATAAATAAAATCTTAAAAACTATGCTACTGGACTTCTCATAATTTGTTTTATATGATGTAAGCAGTCAGGATAATTCAAGCTCTGAATGTATGGGACTTTGGATTCAGGACCTTTGATTTTGACCCCTGCTGGTTAGGTTATTTTGGTCAATATTAAGCTCCTCGAGCCTTAACTGTCTCATCTGTAAAATGGGTATAGCAGTACCTACCTTGTAGGGTTCAAAGCTATAATATAATGGAAGGGTTTTGCATGTGCCTTTTACATTGTCAACACATACTGGTTTACTATTTTCATACCATCCCATTATCCAGCCTACACTTTCTTGCCATTTTCATGGACTCTCCTTTAATCATCAGATGAAATTCAAGTTGACCTCAATGGAAAATAGCACAGAAGCTACAGAGTTCATCCTCTTGGGGTTAACAGAAGACCCTAATCTGCAGGTCCCCCTCCTCCTGGTATTTTTGTTCATCTACCTCATCACTCTGGTTGGGAATGGGGGGATGATGGTGATCATCCACTCTGACCCCCACCTCCACACCCCGATGTATTTCTTCCTCGGTAACCTTTCCTTTGTAGACCTGGGTTACTCATCAGCTGTAGCTCCTAAAACGGTGACTGCCCTGCAGTCAGGGAACAAAGTCATCTCCTACAATGGCTGTGCTGCCCAGTTCTTCTTCTTTGTGGGTTTTGCCACTGTCGAGTGCTACCTCCTGGCCTGCATGGCCTATGACCGCCATGCAGCCATATGCCGGCCTCTTCATTACAGCACCACCATGACAGCAGGTGTGTGTGCCCTCCTGACTATGGGCTCCTACGTCTGTGGCTTCCTCAATGCTTCCATTCACACAGCAAACACCTTTAGACTCTCGTTCTGTGCTTCTCATGAGATTAATCATTTTTTCTGTGACATTCCTCCACTCTTGGCTCTCTCATGTTCCAACACACGCATCAGCAACTTGGCTGTCTTCTGTGTCGTGGGCTTCAATGTCTTTTTCACCCTCCTGGTCATCCTCATCTCTTATCTCTTCATATACATTGCCATTCAAAGGATGCGTTCTGCTGAAGGACGGAAGAAAGCCTTCTCCACCTGTGCCTCCCACCTCACTGCTGTAACCATCTTCTATGGAACTATCATCTTCATGTACCTACAGCCCAGCTCCAGCCAGTCCATGGACACTGACAAAATCGCTTCTGTGTTTTACTCGGTGGTGATCCCCATGCTGAACCCCTTGATCTACAGCCTGAGGAACAAAGAAGTAAAAAATGCTCTCTGGAAAGTACTCAACAAACTTAATCCCCAGTCAGTAAGTATGAGTAGGAAGTAGGCAGGTGATGGAGGAATAAACCTTCCCCCAGACCTCAACGCCATCACGACTTCTGAGGTGTGGTTACTTTTGCTACTTGGAGAATCACGAAAGCAGCACTTGGAAATGTCTCACTCAGGGAGATAATCTTATGTTTAGTGAATAATGACATTGGATATTTAAAAACCTTCTTGCAGTAGTTTCTTGATATGACTCAAAGCAAAAAATCAAAGCATAAACTGAATCCCCTGAATTTCCCCTCCCTATTTTTAATTGGAAGAAATTTCCACTTACTATTAAAATTTGTGTTCAGGATCACATCTTCATCATATAACACTTATCAGTTGAAATGCATGGCATTATGGTTTCCATCTTTGGTCCATGTGTTTGAAAGTTAAAATTTCTAATGCAGATAAAAGATGTTTTAATATTTTCAATAATGACTCTAGAAGGTTTTAACTCGAAGGACAGGGCACTGCTCCCAGAGTCAGATGACTCTTCAGTCCTTCAAAACCCCCAGCCCACATTCCTGCTCACCCATTGGTTGAGTACCTTTGTGTATTTCAGCTCTTTCTATTAATGTTTTGGGACAACTTTGATAGAAAACAATAAGCCACCTTTGTATGCAACAGTTTCAGTAGATAAATTGAGACGCCTTTTTAACCCAAATCAACAACATATCTTTCTTTAGAGAGCTTGCACTCTGTTCCATGCTTTTGGCCTTTGTCTAACATAATTACCAAAGCTTGTGGAAGGTTTGGAGGAAAAAGCATTTTTTATTCTATGGGCTATGAAAGAGGAGTTTTGCCTTCTGAATTAAATACTTGGATTTCTCAGCACCCTTAAGTTTGGTGAATCTATTATGAGTACACATAATAGCTTTCTGTGCCCCCTTGGCTTCTGTTTTTTCAATAATTCAGTTCACCTCTAGATCCCTGTTGCATTGCAATGTTCTGTAATTAGATGCTGTAAGAATAAAAAGGAATGTAGAAATTTACTTCCTGAATAGGAACAGAATAATGATGGACACCCAAGTCCAACTTTGGCTCTGGTTTTGTGTACTGGATGGTATCTGTGAATGTGTGTGTGTGTGTGTCTGTGTCTGTGTGTGTGGGGGGTAAGGGATGGGGGGTGGAGTGTTGGGGATTAATTTTCTACCACACATATCAATGGCGTGATGGTGCTTGTAGCCACAGTTAGTCTAAGTTACTACATATTTCATGACATCAAGCTCAAAGTCAACAAAACAAGAATTTATATTTTAAATGCAAAAACCTCCTCTGTGGCCTGGATCAGGTAGTTCAGAAATCAAATTTGTTTTGAGATTATCAGGCTCATTAGGCACGGGGCAGCCTTTGTCTGAGGAGAGTGGATCATGGAGCTTGTGGAGAGAAGAGCGAAGAGGGAGTTTTTGGAATGGAAGCTGACCTATAGGAGAAGCTTCCTCTGACACATGGCCACTGCTGCCCAGTGAGACCAGGAACTTCTCCTGGATCCAAGGCTTTGACAGCCTAGACCTCTTGCCACCCCCCTTTAGCAGGGTGGCCTCCTGAGCAACACACAGAAGAACTATCACTAAAGGTCAGCATCTGCTTCATGTGGGAGCCCTCTCAGTGACCTACAGAAGTCACAGAGCTCATGGGTGTCCAGACTTGGAAGCGAGTCTGGGAGCAGCTATCCCAGCAGGGAGGACATTTTGGTCTGAGCTCAGCTTCTTTTCCTACTGGATCCACATAATTGACTTCTTTCTTTTCATCTTCTTTCTGTTCCTCCTTTTCTACTCCCCTTTCCCAGTCTCCTTTTCTTCCCCTTTCTTTTCCTCTCAACCCCTTTCTCTCCTCAACCCAAGCAAGAACTTTCCTCACCACGAAACCATTCAGTCCCTATGAAAAATCAGATTGTACAGTTTTGTGTATCATAGTTGTTATGGTACCTAGTAAGGCATATTTCTGGGTGTGTTTCTTCGTGCTTCCACACCCCATTGTGGCAGAAACATGTGTGGTTCTTCTGAGACCTAAAGGCCTGATGCCTATATATTTCCCTTTCTTGTTGAAGCCTCCCACCCCGTCACTCCCCAAACTAGTGTGACAGTTGACTGCCAATGGGTATAAGAGAATACTAGTTCTGTCAAGAGCCGGATGAAAATCCGTACTTGTCTTATCAAGTGGACCTCAAGAAAACCATTTAACCTATTTGACCTCAACATCAAGGTTGAACTGTGAAGATGACAAAATCAAGTATCCAAATGTGCCAGCATAACGAATGCATATTCCATACAGCAGAGACGCCTGTGCTGGTTCTCATTTGGCTGTCCTTGCGCTCCCCACTTTTGGCTTCTGAGCTCCCTCCCTCTCTCCACCCCATCCAAGTCCAAGTTTTTATTTCGAGCCATTGCTTAACTTCCTTTCTTCCAAGCTCTCCGTTCTACATCAGACACATTTCAAGCTGATATTACACGAGTATTCATTTACAGAAGCTACTCAGAAGGAGACGGCTTGTTGCCAGCAAGACATTAATTTTCAGAATCCACATTCCTGTGGGGAGCTTTTCACTTCCACACGGGAAATCTGTCAGACGGAGACTAAATGCCCATTTGGTTATTAACAACACCCACCTTCTCCCTGAGGGGTTGGTCTGATGAATGGGAGGCAGCGAGTGAGGCTCATGGCTCAGGAGAGTAAAGGCACAGGAAGACTTCCTTCCTGAAATGGCCAAAAGAGAGTGAAAACACATCAATCAGGACAATTATTTATATCGGGATGGATTACCCCTTTGAAAAAAGGATTCATGATTGAATTATTCTAAATACGAGGCTCCCTTTGTGCATTAGATGATTTGTAGATGATTTGTTTAGCTTTATGTATGGGGAAAGGAAAATGAAAATATTAGGAGTCTTTGACAATTGAAGCTAACATTACAGAGTCATAACTCTAGCCCTCAAAGAGCCTTTAAAAATAATCTCGACCAACCCTCTCATTTTGTAGATGATAATCCTGAGTCCCACAGTATAACTAGTTTCAACTCACAGAGAACCAAGTCTTTTTTTTTTTAATTTTTTATTTTTTCAGTGTAACAGTATTCATTATTTTTGCACCACACCCAGTGCTCCATGCAATCCGTGCCCTCTCCAATACCCACCACCTGGATCCCCCAACCTCCCACCCCCAGCCCCTTCAAAACCCTCAGATTGTTGTTCAGAGAACCAAGTCTTATTAGACTTTTTCTTTTTTTTTAAGATTTTATTTATTTATTTGACAGAGAGATCACAAGTAGACAGGGAGGCAGGCAGAGAGAGAGGAGGGAGCAGGCTCCCTGCTGAGCATAGAGCCTGACGCGGGACTCGATCCCAGGGCCCTGAGATCATGACCCCAGCCGAAGGCAGCGGCTTAACCCACTGAGCCACCCAGGCGCCCAAGTCTTATTAGACTCTTATTCATCCTTTACATTGTCTAAAGTTCTCGATGGGTCAAAAGACATTTTTGCATTTTTACTTTCATTGTTCACGAGAAAGAAGGTTTTTGTGCTTCAGTTCTGCAGTCGAGGAAACCAGAGTTTTGAGGAGTCAGCTTACCTGCCTACTATTAAGAAGAGGATCCAAGATTTGAACAGTAGTCTTGCCTTCCCTGCCTAATTCTCTGAGAAAGAGCAAGTACCATAATATTTTAGTAAGTTTCAACAGAGAACTTATTTCATGTATAAATCATTTACAGACAGTCTTTCCTGATAAGTCCTTGCAGTGTGGCAAGGCATTGTGCAGAATACAAACAAATATAAGACTGTATGATATAATTCCTACTCCAACAAAGCAAATGCTCCTGCATATATGGTGACTGCTGCAGAGCAACTTTGAGATTAATGACTCAGTATTCAATAACTTTGTTGGCAGGTATTCTTCCTGGACACTACAGAACATGAATGGATCAGAGCACATTTGTTTTCAGCCTTGAGAGTGGGAGTTGGGTCTGCAGCCCACAGAGAGAGCAAGCCGCAGCCAATGTTTACTGGGCACTGAGCACAAGCTGCAAGAAAGGCATGCCGTGAGGTCTGTGAAGGAACAAGGCCATAGTCAATGCCATTCTTGCTTTGAAAGCAGCTTACAAACAGTGCAATAAAACAAGGCACATGCTTCCAGATAGATGGCAATTTGAGGCATTTGTGGTCATGGTCAAGTGAGCAATATGGAAAATAATAATTAGAACTCTTCAAAGATGAAACAGAATCCTATGGGCAGGAAAAGCTCCTTGGAGGAAGTGGAACTTGAGCTAAGCTCTGAAGGGGTAATGTAGAAAGAGCCCAGACTTCCAAAAGAGGAGACTTAGCTTCTAGTCAAAACCCTTCCATCTACTAATTGTGAGACCAGCCGAAGGCACTTATCTTGGAGCCAACTTCCTCCTCATCAAAATGGAGATAGTAGTAGGCCACACCTTCCTGAAGGATGTTGTAGGGTCAAAGGAGATAATGGAGAGGAAAGCATTTTTAAAGATGCTACCCTCTCCCTAATGATAGTACTGCTACTGACATTGAAATTATTACCATAGCTGAATGGGGAGTTTTTGACCAACAGGGACCCACTTAAACCAGGAATGAAGATGGGATTGCACATGGCAGGACCCTCTGTTGGCATAGGCTTGTAGGAAAAGCAAACCACTCAGCTATCAAGTCAATGGACCACCAACTCCTCAGTCCATTACTTCTGCAGGCAGTTAGGACTTGTTCCCATCCAGCTGGATGAAGGGCCTGGACCTCTGAGAGCAACTGTGCCTCTATAGACAAACTGTTTTTACTGAAAAACTTCTGTAGGATCCCACCACTCAGTTACTCAGATCCAAGTCCAAGAACCTCACCTCTTATTCATGACCTGAGATTTTTCTGTTGTTGGCCTGTGATTATTTCATAAGTGGTGTGTGTGTGTGTGTGTGTGTGTGTGTGTGTGTGTGTCTGTCTGTCTGTCTGTCTGTTTGTGGTGGGGTCAGGGTGAGGAGAGGGAGGTTAGTTTCTGTAGTATATTTAACCAGCAAAAAATTAGCGTCTACACATGTGTGTGTATGTATGTATTTGTGTGTGTGTGTGTGTGTGTACAAACTTCTTACAAATGTGGGAAAAAGATAGACAGCCCAATAAAAAAACACAAAATGGAATCTCTCAGTCAATTGTTCATGTTGATTTTACTTATCTCCAATTTAGGGTAATGATGAACAATGTCAAT